ATAAACTCATAATCCACACAAAATTAAGGGGCTGAAAAGGATTTAAATGAATGAAAACTGTTTTTCTTTACACAACGAACGGTAGATTAGAAACTTTTTTTAACCTTTTTTTCTTGTCGTCCCTTTCTTTTTCATCCTTTTTTCTCTTATTTTGTTTAGAGGCTATAGCAAGGTATTTATACGTTGGATTAATTTTAAACCCTAGTTACAAAACTATTTTGTAATTGCATATTAATCCAATAATTTGAATAAATAATTTAATTAAGTCCTTAAAAAGCCCAATTAACTTAATTGTTTAATTTAATCAATTAGGTCCAATAACTTAATTCAACAATTTAAGTAATTAGACTCAATAACTTGATTAAACAAATTTAATCAATTAGGCTCAATAAGTTAATTGTCAAATTTAATCAATGAGGCCCAATAACTTGATTAAACAAGTGTAATCAATTAGGCCCAATAACTTAATTAAACAATTTAATGAATTAGGCATAACTTAATTAAATAATTTTAATCAAGTGCTTGAGAAGCTCATAACTTCTAATTTGAGTAAGTCCAACTTAATCACCTCTCCTATTTTATTTTCAACATTCATTTTAGGTGTGTGATCCATTAGGCTTCTAACATGTTGACAATGAACTCAACATATAATTCTTAAGTTAATCTTAGAATTAGATAAATTTAAACTACTTTAAATTTATCATTAATCAAGTTAACTACCTAGAGTTCATAGACCAAGATTGGGATCTAGCAATCCGTCATGGCCACCCAAATGTTAGAAGAGTCAAGATGGTTTGACTCAACCTTTCAGTGTAATCCATTCCCTCATCATATATCCCGGAGATGATAAGAGCATGGTAAAGTGTCTACTCTTATTGATCTCCATATTCGTTCTTAAAGTTTGATCATCAGCTTTATAAAGACTTATAAAACTCTTTTCATAATCTTCAAGTTGCCTTGGCCAAGGACTTCAATAAGCTAAAATCAACTAAGAACAGTTAGGATATGTCCCCTGCATCACTTGAGGTAATGATTCCTATCTTGACTACTCATTTGCCTTCACATGCTTCATATTATACCCCAAAGTATCCAATTTTGGGATCCTTGGTTAGGCACCCATAAGGATAAAATCAAAACATAGCACTCTACACATAAGATAACCTGGTGTCTCAAGTCTAGAGAGTATTTACACAATTGACACATGAAAAGTATTGCATAAGCACTTGAGTGAAATATCAAATGCACTTCTCACGGTGAGTCATGTTCAGTGAACTTGCTCTCCTAGGCAAGCACCTGCATTCTAATTCCAAGTATCTCTATACTTCAACTTATGAGATCGGTTGCTTAGTTTTCAAGTAAGGAATATAGAATGTACCAGTCTTTAGGCACCATTAATGTTCAGTCTCAATGATACATTGACCAAGAACATTTTTGAGATTGCGCTTTGATGCATAAGAATCTCATAGCTGTAACCCATTACAGTTTCCTTGCAAGGCATATTAATCTCATCGACTTCATCCAATTAGACTTTATAACTTGTTATAATTGATGTCTTATTGATGAAGGAAAACCTTTAATCATTCAATATGAATAATGTTGTTGCATGATTGGAATCAAGCCTTAACCGACTCCAATTGGCTGCAGGGCTCATCTCAACATCTCCCACTAGCCCAAAGTCAATTGCTACCTCATCGTATGTGGATTGAAATCCATCTAGCAATCATGTCTCCATGTAGACTCACTTGTGCCCTTCAATGTGGTTAATTCTTTTTATCTATCTTTCTATGTATCACATCATGTCATATTACTATATCTAGTTCCAATGAGACCCAGGTTTTACTATTATGGCTCCATTGTTACATTAACAATGTCTAGAACCCTTTATTAGATCCATGAACTAATGATCTAAATATCTTCTTATTTGAGCCCTTTATAATAGGATGTATATGACTTTATTTATATACACGTATAATCCCTTTTGCTCATTGGGACCATTCCAACTAGACTATGTTGCATGCATCATATGCAAGTGTCACTTTATGTTGTGCCATTTGGCCCTTTTAAACTTTTTATTTTCATTGGTCTCCAACTAAATCCAAGATCCTTTGTGAGAGTAATATTCAAACTCTTTTCAATATTCCATGAGGTATATACATCTCAATGCATGCTTGGAATCACATTGGTTTGGAATATCATAATGGGCTTTTTGTTGGAGAGATATGGACCAAATCATATTGCAATATGAAGTTGTTTTCTTTCTTGAACATTCATCTCTATGTTTAGATTTTAAGAAAGTTCCATTTTATATGAATCAATATTCAACCTTTTGATCAATACCTTTTGATCAATTGAACATAATTCATAATTGATCAAATATCATTGCAAGGATAAACATGAAGCATGGATAATTAAATGTGACATAATTATTCCAAATAATTATTCAAACTTGAAACATATAAGCTTCCACATCCAAATGCTAAAGACAAATGTTTCACTGGCCATTCCCATGGGAATTACATCATTAATGTTTCAAAACATCCAAATAAATTATCCAACATGTCGAGATAAATAGGAATGTAACCATCCAATGTAGCATTTAATGCTTTAGGTAGTCCATCCATGTGGTCATCTCCTAAGCCAAGATCTTACTCTTGTTTATCTTTGGTCCTTGCAATATGTCAAAGATATGAGAACCAACTTAGAGGTATCATATACCTTTAACATATAAAGTACAAATTACTTAGCAAATGGTACCTAAATCAGAAACTTTAATAAGCTTCTTTTTCTTGCTCACAGTAGCTAGGTACTCCAAGCAGTTCCTCCTTCAATGCCCAAGTTTGCCACAATGATGCCAAATATCTTTCTCTTTGTCCTTTTTGACACCTCCCTTAGGCTTCAACGCCTTCTCATTTTGGGATTTTACCTTTTTTCCCTTTTGGGCTTTCTTCTTCTGTTGCTTTGTATGAGCCTTGGAAGAAGAAACAAGAAGCAATGATCCCTATCTTTCTTGATAGACCTCTCTGTCGTGTCTAGCATATTCAAAAGTTGGAGAAGAGTGGCTTCCAATCGATTCATATGGAAGTTCAACATGAACTGACTAAAGCTGTCACGAAGAGATTGTAGAACTAAGTCTATACTTAACTCATGATCCATTGCTAATCCCAATTGTCCAAGTCTCTTGATGAGTCCAACAATCTTCAGCACATGGGGTCTAACAGAACTACCTTTTGCCATCTTGCATCGGAATAGTTCTTTAGAGATCTCATATCTCTTAATGCGCCCCTCCTTATTGAACAGTTCTATAAGGTGAAGAATCATGGATTGGACATCCATGTGTTCATGTTGCTTTCGGAGCTCAAGGGTCATACTGGCTAGCATCACACATGCTGCTTGATCATCGTCATCCTTATGACGTTGATATGCCTCTTTATCCTCAACACTAGCATTGGTAACAAGGACTGGTGGAATATGAGTGTCAAGGACATAAGATTTCTTTTCTTGTTTCAAGACGATCTTGAGGTTTCGAAACCAATCGAGGAAGTTTGGGGCAGTGAGTTTATTAGCATCCAAGATGCTCCGCAATGATAGATTATTACCCATGTATATAAATTATGCCTAAATAGATAAAATAAAGCAATAAGTAAACATCA